ATTTCAAGGTAATCAAATTGATTTCATTTTTTCAAATTTTTCTTCTATCTCTTATCTCTATTTGATATAGTTACAATATTGTCATTGTAGGTTTTGTTTTTTTCCAAAATCTTTTTTTCGAACTGAATATAAAATTATTATATACAAATCAAGTCGTTTTTACAATGAATGCATCTTGGTTTTGAAATCTATTTTTGTTTTTGTGGTTCTAACTCTTACAAGTTGAGATTAGAGCTAGTGTTAAAGGTGTCGTGTTATCAATTTCACCGAGTTGACAACCACACATCCATGGCTTCGCGTACTTTCCCATGCTACGGATTGAGTTGATGAACTTTGTTACGTTCTTGTCAATTGTTTTAACCATGCACCTCACTGGTTGCGCATTCTCTCGATAACGCTGTAGATTTCTTTTTCTCCATAGATGATAAACTGTGGACTGGAAAGCATAATGGATCAAGAACAAGTGATATTGAGGTTGATCCTAATGGATCAAGAACAAGTGATATTGAGGTCGATCCTATGTGAGAATATTGACCATTTTGTTCTACAGGTGAAATCAAGGCCAAAAAGCTTTGAAACAAGATGTCTCCATACATCTCCCGAGGTCGATCCTATGTGAGAATATTGACCATTTTGTCCTAGAGGTGAAATCASGGCCAAAAAACTTTGAAACAAGATGTCTCCATACATCTCCCGAAAGCCTGTACTCAAAGAAGAGATGGTTTCTCGTGTCTTCAGCTTGTCGACACAAACTACACTCAACATACTGTCTGGAGTTCCAACAACTCATCCTTCACCCGTCATCAATCGATTGCCAGGTTAGAAATCCATATTTAGGAGTTGCGTACGAGAACCATACTCCTATATACCATGATTGAACTGGTTGAGCTGTTCTAATAAGGTTCCAAGTGTTTTTCGAGACATACCGTTTCTTATACACATCTCCAATACGATATATCTTTTCCCACTTTTCTCTCTCTTTTTGCTTTATCAATAGCTTCCTCCATAACATTCAAATGCTCTACTTTGTGTCCTCTTCTGTGGTGGTCCTCGAAGACCTCATCCAAAATCGCAAATATCCGTATTCCCATATCAATAATGTCTCGTTGATATCGTGAAGTCTACCAAACTGAGACCAATTATCGAATCAGAAAACGTGTGTCATCACAAATTTCGACTTTATGGATATTGTTTGGCAACATTTATGAACTTTAAAAGCTTTATGCACATGGAAGAGCCTTTCATTGTGTTTTCTTTGATCGACCAGAGAGATTGCTATGGTGAGGCCTTTAAAACGTAATAAACTTGACGATAGTCATAAATTTACACCCCTAACAAAATGATTCGTAGTATGTGGTTCTAAACTTCTAAATGTTGATGGTTATGAAAGGAAACGAAGTTTATGGAGACGTTTGAAAATATTAATAAATATGGGGGTTCAGAAGCAAAACCATCTTGGTTATACGAATATATAATTTTTTTATTTTTTTTGTGTGCATACGAATACATAAATTAAAATTGTATTTGACCGGAAATTTGCTTAGGACCGGCACGTATATTACCTGAAATTCATCCCTGAG